AAAGAAAAAAAAAAAAAAAAAAAAAAAAAAAAAAAAAAAAGGATGGATTTGTAAAGTACAAATGTTAAACAATATGACAACCTATACAAATAAAAAAGGAAATAATGCAAACATAAAAAGTGGATATAAAGTTTTAGAACCCCCAACTTTTCTCATATATTATTATTATTATACAGGATTTATATATCGCCCATAACAGTTTGCGTAGCGCTTTACAATATAGGGAAGACCTTACAATACAGTACAAATCAAGACGGTATACAATCCAAAGGTGACAAAAATTATAACTATTGTATGTTTCAAGGAAGCTGAACAGATTGCAAGTGTCACTGCATGTAAAACAGGACCTTAAAGTAAACCAAGCACAAACCTGATTAAAAAACTGGGCAAATAATCTTAATTTTTAAAAAATGCAAAGGCAAAAGATTACCTTTAGTGACCATTTCTATCAAGAGGCTGCCTTTGCCCTGTGCTATGTATCTGTCCTATTAAGGTGCATTTGAACTGCAGGCAAAGCAGGAGCAGCATGTCACATTCAATGTTTTTCATTGAAAAACAACTTCATGTGTCAAACTACAATGTCTGCCAACCTAAACTCCAAAGATGTCCAACTGGTGAGTTTTGCTTGCTCATTTGTGCTTGTGTAAAGTATGATTGCAACTCTTGACTGCTTTACCTAAATGTACCCCTGTGCCCTCTACCAAATCACTGCCTGATAAGAGTCCTAATCTTACCTTGAGTGGTCGGAACACAATTTGGCATCTCTCTCAAATTAGGCTGCAGCCTCAGCTGTGACAGGCTGCTGAACCACAAATGAAAGCTCAGACAGACATGGGTATAGGTGATGACAATAGGTGATGACGAGACAGTGATCTAAAGATCTACATTATGATACTTGGAGACAGTAAAATTAATTCTTAAATAGCTTTAGGACGGCCTAGGGAAATGTTTTTAGCTTGTTTGGGAGCTTAGCTTTGACATAAGAATTTTAAAAGATTTTCCGTTCCTTAAGCTTTTTCACAATCTATATATTTTCTGCACGCTAAATTTTAAACATCAGTACGCACAACTATTCTAACATGTGGATTCTTAAGTATTTGCCCATCAACAATCATAAATTATAAGCCAATAGTAATAATACCAACCCAGCAGTTATCAGAAAATCCATAATTTAATTACAATGAACAGAATTCATTAAGTATTCTCCACACTCACAGTCTCTCAAGAACATATGACCACACAAGAACTGCTATATCAATGCAAAGTGCCTGCCCACCATTCAGCACACAGCAGCTGCCTAACCTCTTTCAGCTGCTCATTGCTGCCCCAGGATGCAGATCGCTTGTGAGAGCTTTTCTTCTTTTCAGCATACTCCTCGGCCCAAGCACTTTCTGTCTGTGTTTAGCATAAAGAAAAAGGAAGTATATTCTGTATTATAATTACATATACATCATTTAATTAGGTCATGCATAACAGAAGATTTAGTGAGGCATGATTTAATTGGCACGTTGAATACAAATGACTTGGGCAGAGATTCGCATCATGCCACCGAATTAAAACGTGAATTATAACAAATGAAAAGAAATCATAGGCCTGGTGCACGTATTAACGTAACCAGTGTCTATTGAAACCTTTAAAGCAAATTGTGTTTTTTCCAATGCAGGGGCAAAACAGGTTCCCTTTCTTCGGCCTCTACCCAGCAACACACACAGCTCCAGAGTTGCTCTGCAAGGAGGGGGGTGGTAATCCGTTGCTTTGAAGTGCAGGGTCATAAGCACAGGTTTGCTTTAAGCTACTGGCCTATACAAAATAACAGGCTCACATAATAGAAGGTTCCAAAAGGCATTTATACTTACCTTGCCCATATTTGACTGCAGCCCTTAAATATACCTGTGTCATTTTCAAATTAAATCTTTGCCCAGTGCTATGAATACTCCCCTCTATCTACATGACAGCACTCAAGCCTAGCAACTGGCTACTTGAGCACTGTGGGAAGTTGGAGGGAGGGGAGAGAGAGAGAGAATAGGGTCATGTATTTCCCCACAGTATTGGGTTCAAGTAGCTCCGGTGGCAGAGTAGTGTGGAAGCACAGGCAGTATAAACGTCTTGCTGTGAACCGGTTGCTTCGCCAGGTCAAGGCACAGTACGGATAGATTTGACAATCTCAGTACAGAAGGCATTGATATGTCTGTTCTAAGACGGCTCTGCTGTGCTGCATATTGGATTCATATTCTAACATGTCGAGAATTTTGAAAATATGTTTAAAGCCGAATTCCAGTTTATATATTGACAAATTACAGGTGCCATTGTGCATATTATTACTTGAACCGTGGCGTCCACTGTGTATTTTGTCCCAGATGTGTGCAGTTTATCCAGCATGAACCAACTCTTACACTTTGCCTCTGTACAGACATTTCCTGTAAAAAGGAGCGCTCACTGCTACTCTCCATGTACAGGCAGATTTCTATTTTTTCTTTCCTCTTGTTTTCTGCAGGCATCCTGTAGTTGGTGGACCCGCCATGCCCCACCTGCACTGGTACCTGTCAGAATACCTGATCAGAGCGGGCAGCTCATTGGCTGCCAGCTCTCATCGATTGAAAATTTTCCAGCCAGCTCCTTCGATCAGCTGATCAAGGAATGCTGGCAGAAAGGGAGCCAACAGCCCCACACACTGTGTGAATTTCAGCCGGTACATTAAAAACCATCCAAAATTCAACCAATGTATGGTACACCAACACTCAGACGGGTGGGTGCATGCATTAATGGACAACTTATATCAAACTTACAGGTGTCCTTTAAGAGATACCCATTCACTCAGCAAGAATTGTGCAGCAATATAGAAGTCAAAGTTCAACAAGTTTGCTTTTAACTTCATATGAAGGTATACATATTTTTTAGTTTTCTTCCAATAAAAAGGTCACACTAGTGGAAATAAACAGCTGAACAGACTCCATTGTGGCAGACATGGATATACTGGCTTTGTCTTTAGGCACTGCACTGCTTTATATTCACATCCAACCACTTCAAAATATAGCTCAACACACATGTTCATTGCATACAAGTGTATGACTAGGAGACCTTAAAGTGGACATAAACCCTCCTTCATCTAAGTACAGTGCCATCTTAGCCTCTATTTAGTTCTGCAGTTACCATGGTGCTGCACATGTGATCAGCTAGGACACCAGCCATTTGAGGGCTTGAAAGTTTGGTTGAGAGGGGACATAAGCAAATTGACAACTGTGAAAGTTACCACCGGAGGCATGCCTTGATTTAGCATATACTTTGCATGCACTAGTAAGCAGAATGTAAATGAAAACACTGCAGAAAAAAACTGGTATACTCGATTAGGGATTTCATAACATTAAAGCAGGACTCTGGGCAAAAATATTATTAACCTTTGCAAGGCTTAACTGCTCATTTGTGTCTAGGGCAGAAAATAAAGTTACTCACCTGACCCTCCGACCCGGCTTGCTCTTAGGACGCTCTTTCCAGTGTCCCTCCCCCTCTGCTGCAGCGGTAAAAGGTCCCTGAGTCATCATGTTCTATACACTGCGTATTGGACATGAGAACGCTGAGGGACATACCATCTCTGCACCAGAGGAGGAGACAGGCTGGAGGGAGTGCTTTGACAGCTGGGCGGCTCATAGGATAGGGCGAGTATAGCTTTGTGGACTGAATAAGTAAAAACTAGCCGTGTATGGCTAGAAATATGGACAATGGACATTCAATGTCAAATTATATTGTAACTGTGCAGCCTTTCTAATGCCTACTGAATAATTACTTAATACGAGCCCTTCTTATATCTGGGAGGCCATTAAAAGGTCTCTACTTTCTCACCTCAAGCTGATAAATATGTGCCATCAATATAACATTAGGCCATTGGCAACAAAGCAACATTAGCATTCTTGCAGCAGCCTACTCGTCACTGGCTCTCTAAGGCTGCGTTCACACCTGACCGTTTTGTAGCGTGTCCTACGCTCGACGAACGCGCTACAAAACGGTCAAAAAAATAAATAGCATTGTAGTCAATGCCCTCGTTCCCACCTAGGCGTATTTCCGCCCGTCCCTAACGCCCTACAAAACGGCCCACGCCTGAAAAGGTCCCGGGACTACTTTGGGCCGTTTTGTAGGGCGTTTTCCATTGGGATACAGCCAAGTAGCCTTTGGAATCGCACGACTTTTTTACCGCGAATCGCGGTAAAAAAAACGCGTGACGGTCGCGCGACAGACGCGCATATTACAATACGCCTAGGTGTGAATGGGGCCTAACATAGCAGAATAGGTAGCACAGCAAACTATTCAATCAACATTCAAACAAAGCTTTATCCAAGAAAAACAAATAAAAAATGAATTACCTGTGTAGACTTGTCACACATGCATGGAGCAGTCTGCCCATGGTCCCTGGGCCATTGACCGGAGAGGTAAGGAGCAGCAAGAGTATCAAGTGTCAGTGCCGTCCGTCCGTTTTTTTACTACGGGCGGACGGCAAGTGGTTAATGACCAAGGACAAATGTAGGTCCTGAGGTTACACAGGTTGAGAACCACTGCATTAGAGGGCTGTCAGGCTGCAAAGATCTATTATGGTAGGAAACCGCAGTGCCTGTGTCTTCATAGTGCTTATAGATGCAGTGATGAGTAAGTGCTTTTACTGCTTGTTCAGAATATGTGAATACTTTAGTGTGCACAATCTGGTCACAGGTTCACTTTCAGTGAAAGAAAACATTTTACAAATACGTTATGGTTAATGCTAAATGGATGAACTTTAAAGGTTTTTGATTACTGCCTTTTGAGAATTAGGTCTAATAGCTTTTTTTGCCATTTCGCAGGCACACACAATTTAGAGGCCTGACATATTTCATATTTTATTAATTTGACTTTTTTTAAATATTTCACCAGAAAATTAGATGTCAACTGAAATGATTTTTAGTTTATTATTACTGATAATAATAAGTGTGTGTGTTTTTCATTATGATTAGCTGGTGGCCTTTCTGTGCTGCAATAGGGAAAGGTGCAGTGTCGGCATCTCTTTTAGTAGTAATTAACCCAAAGCTGCATTCACACCTTAGTGACGCCTATTAAGCGTGTTTTACACGCATATGTTAAGTCGGCCCTTTTTGTGAGCAGATTTTGCCACATTCATATAAATGGGCAAAATGCTCTTAAAACGCGCACAAAAATAATCAAATGGCCCGTAAAGCGTTTTGTCTGTGGGGACAAAACGTTCTGAAATGTGATTGGTTGTAGGGAGGGGCTGGGAGGGGAGGGGTTTGCCTGGCTTTCACTCTAGGGTCATATTACAAGCTAGCTAGCTAGAGTCTCTGCTATACGTCACACGGAGCTGCTACAAACGGATCAGCTCACTCAGCTGAATCGACTCCACCAGTGAATAGAATCAATTCCAAAGAACATTCGTTCATGAACTGGACATCTCTAGAACCAACATTCGGGCCCCATTTACAACTAAGCATCCCCCCAGATGTATTTCCCATTAAATCACATTGTAATACACTGAATGTCAATGTATGTCATAACACAGTGGGGGGCGCCTTAGGGCATGCCTAGACACGCATATTGATGCTTTTCCATTGATTTCAATAGAAACTGCATCCAACAAAATGCAAAAAGGTGTCAACCCAGCGTTATTAGACCTGTTCAGAATTATTTGTGTCACCTGAGGGCCTATTAACACAAATGTGCGTTGCGCCAACACATGAAAATGAGACTTACTAAAGGTAAAATAAAATGAGGCAAATGTAAATACTAAAAAGAGAACTATGGGGTAAGTGTTCTTCCCCATTGTTCTCTTTAGGGTCATGGGAGGACATATACTAACCTCCTCCCGTGAAAAGCTCAGTATATAGCAGGCTATTGCCCCCGGGAGAGCGCTGCCGCCGGGACAGATCCCGACAAAACTGTCGAGATCCAACCAGCTGCGTGAGTGAGTTGGCTCTGCCCATCTAGAGGCAGAGCCAGCTGTGCCCACCGCCTCTCCACGTGCATTCCTCCACACAGTATGACTCAGTGCTGGAGGATCGGAGCAGGAAGGTGGGGAAACCCTGCGGGGAGCGGAGACTGCCAGTCACTCCAGGGAGATGATCAGAAGTGAGCGGATCGGCGGCATGTTTCTGCTCACTTCCCGATCAATAGAGCCAACCTGTGACAGCTTCTTTATCACAGGTCGGCTCTTACTATGAGGATGAGTGGAAATCACTCACCTCATAGTTCTCCTTTAATAAGGAAGCTTATGTTATCCTAAATTATGACTGAACATTAAAAGCAAGAAAGAATAAATAAATGATAAAATTACCGGGGGAGGTAGGGATTTTTGGCAGAAAGGACATGCAAAGTCTCTTCTACCCAAAAAATTATTTCCCCCGCCCCCACAGTAATTCTTAATTTTTATATGTACACTGTATGGTGCATGAGCCTTACAGTGTACTCTCAACACATTCACAGCATCTCAAAGTCCACATTCACACCTAGGCGTCAGAGTTCCCGCACATAAAATGCAATCCATTGCTGCGAATAAGGAAATAGAAATGTGCAAAACACTTGTGTCGAGGACGTGAAAGTATCAAACTCCAAGGACATCACTGAGGACTGAAGATCCATCCGAGTGGGGAACCATGGCCGAAGAGGAATTCCGAGAACCTGGAACAGATTCAAGGGACATCACCGAGGATCGAAAATCCATCCAAGTGGCCAACCAATGGCCAAAGAAGGATTCCAAGAACCTGAAAGTATTAGCTGCGAGGGACATCACTGAGGACCGAAGATCGATGTGACAAGAGCTGGAGAAAAGCACACTTAAGATATGTGTGCCCTCATGTGCAAGTATGCTGTGCATAGGGCAAATAAGAAAAGTTTAAAGCAGTTTACTATTCTTTCAATCATCAATGGCCATCTTAACAAGCCCTCTATCCCGGAGATTTAGGTTATCAGGATTCCTTCCCTATTTTTTCAAACCCTCCTCCTTAGCATCACAAAGCAATCTTTAGTAAAACCTTAAAAAGGTGCCCATACACTGTGCGATTATCGCACGATAATCGCAGGAAATCCCGCGATCGTACGATAATCGCAAAGTGTATGGAAGGCGTGCGACCATTTTTACTGTACGGTCGCACATCTTGTGTCTAAGGAGAATGTTCGAAAACCAGCCGAATATCTTACGATTTTCGGCTGGTTTGTGGCATGCTCGGGAGACAAATGCCCGTGCACACTGCCCGTTCAGCATTGCGGTCATCGGAAGCCTGCCCCTCGGCGGGGCGGGCTTGCGATGATCGCAAGTACGAGCTGCCTGTCCAAGATGGTTGTAAAGTGTATGGCCATCTTAAATCCGCTCAACCGTTCTTGCTTTTTGGTTTTTAATATGCTGTGGGGCCACCAATAACACCGTACATTGGCTACATTTAGGCCTGTAACATCTCAAGACTAAGTAAAATAACACTGATGCTATACATCAGTCATCCTGCTTCAACCTTCATGGCACCTCCTGCATGTGTTGCTAGAGCCTTGAGGAAATCCAATGCAAATACCAAGTATGAACATTACATCACCAGCAATACATCCATTAGGTACCAAGCACTACATTGTGAAATGCATGGAATAATGTGTACTCCATACCCAGCAAATTTGACTTATGGAGCTCTGGTGCATGTTGGGACAGTAGGTGGTCCTGTGGAGGTAGGAGGTGGCCTGGGTACACCCGAGAACTTCACACAGGGATTTATATGAAGAACAGGTACATGCAGAAACCACAAGGTGCCCATTCTTCACTACTGTTGCCTTAAAAGCATTTGAGGCCAGGTCAGGTGAAATGTGGCAAAGCAGCAGCAGAAAAAAAAAAAAAGGAGTATTTAAAAAAACTTGTCATGCTGACAAAGAAATTCTATTGTTTAATCATATACACAATTTTAGATGGTTTTATCTCGTTGCATACACATTGTAACAATCAGATCTCAATTTACTCAATTAACTGTCACACAAAGAATACATTTCTGCATGAACTATGTCTTGTATATCTTTATGCAGTGTTGTTAGCAGGCAGGATGTGGAGAAAATGCTGCAGGTAACAGTGGGCCTCCTGCAAACAATAGAGGAAAGCATGCCACATAAAGCAATCCTGTTTTGGATTTCTCAAACCTGCCCTGCAACATAATGAGCAGTTGTATTCTAATCTAGTCTCCACTGCAAAACGAACACTCTTATGTCCTTCAGAATCTGTAGACGAGGCCCACTGTAGCCAGGCCTCGTTGTCATAAGAACTCAATACTCCCATGAATCCACTGTTTATAGCACCAGACACAAAGGGGAGGCTGTAGGTGGAAAGAAGTATTTAAATATCTCCAACTGCAAAGTCAGAGTAAACATTTCGGATTTCTAAAAACACAGATACATCTTTAAATATGCAGCAAGAAAGCCAAATCAGTTCATCTACAATGACCACCTATTAATTTCAGAATGAATATAGGTGTTCAACCTGATACTGCAGCACTTACAGCTCACACCTAACAAGACCATTGTCTCCATGGTAACCATATATCCGCCACAGTGATTCTGGTTACATTGCTTTAGCGATTATCACACACATACTGTACCATTCTTTCAGGCCGTGCATTAACCCACTTAGGGCCTATTCACATTTCCCCAGCTGTTACATTGTGTATACCCTGCCTGCCATTAAAATTATAAAAGGACAGCAATGGACCTAAAATCAGACCCGACATTATTTAACGTAGAGTAACACACGGCATATGTATTGGGGGCATTGCCCGCTACTGTTACAGTGCATTGGAGTGCCATTAAAACTGAATGGCATAGGATTACCATGTGGTGCAGTAAAACATCAGGTGTGTCAAATTGGTATCCACATGCAGTTCCGGGTGCCATCAGGTCCTCCTCTGCCGATTGACAGCAAGCAGTGGGCGAGTGCAATAGCAAGCCTGCTATTGGCTGTTGCATTGTAAAATATCCAATAGCAGGCTGGGTATGGCTCCCAGCCTCTAGATGCAGAGGGGGAATGGGGCAGCAGACACAAGGATACAGAGGGGGAATGGGGCAGCAGCAGAGGCACAGGGGCGGGGCAGAGAAGGAATGGGGCGGCAGCCTCTAGATGCAGAGGGGGAATGGGGCAGCAGCCTCTAGATGCAGAGGGGGAATGGGGCAGCAGCCACAAGGATACAGAGGGGGAATGGGGCAGCAGCCACTAGATGGAGAGGAGGAATGGGGCAGCAGCCACAAGGATACAGAGGGGGAATGGGGCAGCAGCAGAGGCACAGGGGCGGGGCAGAGAAGGGATGGGGCGGCAGCCTCTAGATGCAGAGGAGGAATGGGGCGGCAGCGGAGGTACAGGGGTGCAGCAGCGGAGGTACGGGGGGTAGCAGTGAAGGTACAGGGGGGTTTGGGGGTGCAGCAGCAGAATGCAGTCACAGCGGTCACTCCTCCCCGCTAGTGCCGGCTTCAGTAGTCTGTGTCCCCGCTGCATCTGCCAATACAGGTGGGGACAGCAGCGGGGATTGATAGGGGCACAGAGCACTGCAGCCAGCTCCGAGAATGGAGGAGCAGAGCGGCGTCAACTAATCGATGATTTAATCAATTAGTTGTTGCAGCCCTAATATAACCCATGTCTTGAATTGTATCTGTACTGTCTTCCTGAACATTATAAATAATAATGATATTAAAAAAATAAGTAAAACCCCTATCGCACATATTCATCTACTTTTTCAAAAGGGAGGATTACAATTGGACAATTTTGTGCACTTTTATTTATACAACTACAATAGCCACATGGAAAATAAATAAAAAGACAGAGGAATTTATCAAAACTGGAGCAGGCAGAAAGTGGAGCAGTTGCCCATGGCAACCAATCAGCTTCTCTCTCATTTCCAAATCTTAACTGAACAAAACTGAAGAGAAGCTGCTTGGTTGCCATGGCAACTGCTCCAGTTTTGATAAATTCCCCTTTAGGAATGGAATAAATTCCCCTTTAGGAATAGTTTTAAATTTTTGCATCTTAGCATTGCTGAACTTAGTTACATAGTTACATAGTATTTGAGATTGAAGACATAAGTCCATGCCACCTACATCTACATGCACCCACTCCAGCATTGACTGCATGTCATTGCTCCGGACCAACTACCTGTCAATGACAATGGCGGACCACTCCTGCACTATGTCTTCCAGCATGACCACTGCTAATCACCATGTGACAGGGTGGCAACGCAGGTAAACAATTGGGAAAAGGTAGTCACCCCATAACAGGAGGTGCCTGAATAAGGACTCTCATGGCAGGATCAGCAGTTATTACTTTAAGAAAGCTGCAGATTTAGTGCACGCTCATACTGGCGGCTGGCAGCAATCACTGCATTCTTGCTGGCGGCACTATACGCAGTCCCCCGTGCACACAGTCGGGGGAATTTATTAAAACTGGAGCAGTTGCACATAGTAACCAATCAGCTTCTATCTTCACTTTGTTTAGTTAAAGGAGAACTCTGAGGTGAACGATTTCCACTCATCCTCACAGTTAGAGCCGACCTGTGACAAAGAAGCTGTCACAGGTCGGCTCTATTGATCGGGAAGTGAGCAGAAATATGCACAGATCCGCTCACTTCCCGATCGTCTCCCTAGAGAGCGGTGACTGTCAGTCACCGCTCCCCACAGGGATTCTCCCCTCCGATCTTTGAGCGCTGAGTGGAGGAATGAACAGGGGAGGGGGTGGGCACAGCTGGCTCTGCCTCTAGATTGGCAGCTGACTCTGCCTCTCACGGATCTCGACAATATTCTTGGGATACGTCCCAGCTGTGGCGCTCTCAGTATATCACGGACAATAGCTCACGATATACTGAGCTTTGGTTAGTATATGTCCTCCCATGACCCTAAACAGAGCTATGGGGAAAAACACTAACCCTATAGTTCGCTTTTAAGCACTAAAAATAAAAAGGTAGAAACTGATAATTCACCATGTCTGCTCCAGTCATGATAAATTCCCCTAAGGCCTGGTTCACACCTGGGCGTTGTACAGCGCGTTCCTACGCTCTATAAAACGCTCAACATGTGAAAACCAATGATTGCCTATGGGCATGGTTCCCACCTGGGCGTTTTACAGCCCGTAGGAACGCGCTGCAAAACGCACTATGCCCAAATAAGTACAGGAGCTTATTTGGGGCATATTTGCCACGCGTATCCATTGGGATACAGCAGGTAGCCCTCGGAAACGCGTGTTTGTCACAGGTTTTTTTTTACCGCGAATCGCGGTAAAAACGTGCAGCACAACAAACGCGCATATTCGATACGCCTAGGTGTGAACCCAGCCTTAGTGTGCGCAGTTGTCATTATGTTCTGTATAGGGCTGCAACAACTAATCGACATAATCGATTATTGAAAAAGTTGTCAACTTTTTCAATAATCGATTAATCGGCTTCCGATCAGTTGGCCCTGTTCACAGCTCCACACACGCTGCGCGCCGCACCTCCTACCCACCTCACGCTCGCCGCCAGACCCGCTCGCATCTACGCTCTTTACGCCGCACCTCCTCCCCGCCTCACATTCACCGCCCGCCCACATCCACGATCGGCACGGGGAGATGTAGTAAGGAGGAGCAGGTGTGGGGGATGACAGCCACCGATAGACAGGTCCGATCTCAGAAGCAAGTTGCTGGATGACTGCTCAGATAAGCCTTCACTTCCCTTCCCCCCACATGGTGTTCTATAATGTATTGCTGGGATTTGTATTCCTCTATAGCTGATGGTACATTGTGCTGTATATTATACATGGGAATACAAATCCCAGCAATACATTATACACTGTATGTATAATGTATTGCTGGGATTTGTTGTATTCCTCTATAGCTGGTGATATTCTGCACTGCACTGTATAGAGGACTACAAATCAAGGAATATTACATTATACAGCGCAATACCACCAGCTATAGAGGAGAACAACAAATCCCAGCAATAGTACAGCACAATGCAGAATACCACCAGCTATAGAGGACTACAAAACCCAGCAACAGTACATTATACAGCGCAATGCAGAATACCGCCAGCTATAATGTACTATTGCTGGGATTTGTTGTACTCTATAGCTGGCGGTATTCTGCATTGCGCTGTATAATGTACTGTTGCTGGGTTTTGTAGTCCTCTATAGCTGGCGGTATTCTGCATTGCGCTGTATAATGTACTATTGCTGGGATTTGTTGTTCCTCTATACCTGTTGATATTCTGCATTGCGCTGTATAATTTACTATTGCTGGGATTTGTAGTCCTCTATAGTCGGTGCATTCTGCATTCATTGCTGTATAATTTTACACTTTTATTGTTTATCCGATTAATCGAACGTAATAATCGGCTAACTAATCGATTTTGAAAATAATCGTTAGCTGCAGCTCTAGTTCTGTACAAATCAATAGCGGTTGCCACCACTGTTCACATGTAATCACTCATCTGAACAGTGGCATGCAAACAGAGCTTCTGACCAACCCTGGACACAGACAGTATGCGTTCAGGGACACCATTGCTAGCTGCAGCTCACCAGTTTGAATGCGGTCATAGAACAGACTGCAGCTGCGTCCAGAGGGCATGTTCTTGCCAGCAAAATTATCTGCTATCATTCGCCTGTCTGAATGAGGCCTCATAATGACTTAATGTACATTAATGACATCATTTTAAAGCCAAAATAAAATGTACATCACGTGGTTAAAGTTACAGTACAAAATGTCATGTTAAGCCTGTGGGGTCATCTTATACTGCCAATGTGAAATGTGAGCTTAGGACACTCCAGCTCTTTCTGTGTCCAGCAATGGGGGAGGGGAGAAAAAGTGTTTACCTTTCGGGGAGCTCGGGCTTTTGCTCTCTGGGGAGCTCCTCTGCTGCCAGCCTGGCCTGCCCACAGGAGAAGGGGAGGACGATGACGGTACGCCCGGTGTGCTGGAGTCTACAGCTGGGCTGCTGGAGGTCGGGGAGCCGGCTCCAGGCTGCTGGTTGCTGTGGTGCTGCTGATGATGGTGGTGGTGATGGTGGGAGTGATGGTGGTGGTGATGCCCACGGGGGGGTGACGCCCCTGTTTGGGTGGACACGGTGGGGCTTCCTCTGGCGCTGGTCACCGCCGGGGGAGACTCCACGCCGTTGCCATTCGATCCATTCCCTCTAGTAGGACTGCTGCTCCGGGAAGGAGGGCGAAGGGCGGCCCCGTTGTTGTTATTCACCCGTGTAGGGCTGCCGTGTTGCTTTAGCTGAAAGGGAACCGTGGCTCGCATAGGCTGAAGGCGGCCCCCCGACGCATTGCCTGTACCGGCGCCAGCGGGGTTGACCGGAGGTGTGGGGGAGCCATTTCTCCTCACCCACTGCTGGGACATCTCCCACTCCGCTGCAGGCAGTTTTACAGAGGATGTTGGCAGCACAACGACCAAAGAACGACCGGAAGAGCTTATACGTGCCGCACAGGGCACGGGCTGGAAATCGCACACCGTGCACGCGCTCGGTGTAACGGCGGCTGCACCTGTGGCGCGCGCAGCAGTTCTGGCCGGAGACAACACAACACCCTGCGCGCCTGCGTCACGCCCACCATCACTCTAGCCTTGCGCTCATTGGCTTCACAGTCCTGACCAATGGGGCTAAAGGAATTAGAGAAGCAACAGTAGCTGATTGGTGGATAAGCGTCTCTTAGACGCTAGGAAACCAGTCAGCTAGCGGTTCCCTAGCCTCCAGGGAATGAGTGTGAAGGAGGTGGAGAGTAGGCGGGAAAAGTCGGCTGCTCTGTCATGGGCAACACTGTGGCCTCCAGTCACCTGCCAGAGGTTGTCATTCACAGAGCATCGGGGCTGGATCAAGCACAGTAGCTCCTCTGTCGTCATGGCTGTAGTAACAAGAGAATGCCTCTGGCATCAGCCATGGAGGGGGAGGGAGATGTCTAGTACAACATCTGTGTATGAATGGCCCTTTCTGAGTATGGAATGAAGACATAGAACATGTTTGATTTTTTTCTGCTGCCTTAAATAAAAATGCATGCATGTAATATGTTGTATGAACATGTGGGATATAAGGACATTACATTGTGCAGTTCATTTAATGATAGAGAATAATCCATAGGAATCATTGACCTTCTACAATTCTAAAACTGAACCTAGCTGCCAAAATGAACACTTTACCATTTATTATTATACAGGATTTATATAGCGCCAACAGTTTGTGCAGCGCTTTACAATATAAGGAAGACATCTTAAGACAGGATGGTAAGGAAGGCCCTGAGGGCTTATAATCTAAAAAGGAGGGGCCAGTGATACATAAAGCGGTAGCTGTGTGGGGATGACTTGTTTGAGAACATGATGGTTGAGGTGGGATAGGCTTCCCTGAAGAGATAAGTCATAGGGATCGCCTAATGCAGTCAGAGTGGGCGATAGACGGACAGATTGGGGTAAAGAGTTCCAGAGGATGGAGGAGATGGGAGAGAAGTCCTGGAGGCGAGCATGGGAGGAGTTTACGAGGGAGCTGGAAGGCAGGAGGTCTTTGGAAGAGCGGAGGGGACGGTG